CCCCAAAACCCCAAAACCCCAAAACCCCAAAACCCCAAAACCCCTCAAATTATATTTAAACTGAACTAAGAAAGTATATTAATAATAAAATACATCAATGATTGCAGCTAAAAGGTAAGAGAATCTTCCTATTTATGAGGTTTACCTCCCTACTCACCTTAGAAAACTCTTCCAAAGGCACACTAATGGACTAAATACTACTAGAACCCCTACTTCAGGGGTAATTTCCCAAGATGTACTCTTAAGGTATTAAATTTACCTTAAACGTGCATCTGGTCGATCCTTCCTGGACAACACTAGGAAAGCTCTAAATTTGTTTCGGGATTATTGCTCCATAAAAATATGACTATTTCCCCCTTAATTTACCCTGGAAAGTACTTAAACGTTCCTTTTAGCCCATTCTGAGAATACTCTGATGAACTAAAATTCGACAGGAAGACAAGATGGACAAACTCTGTTGTTAGAGATCACTATGAGACATCTAAGATTGCTGAGGACACCCTCAGAGAGTCGAGGAAGGCCAGGATCATCATGGAAAATAGCCTTGAGCGGACCAGAGATACCCTGAAAATCTGGAGCAATTTTGAGGATAGCTACAATGACTCGATAATTAACCTTAAGGAAAGAATCAAGACTAATGAAGAGGAAGAGATGAGGAAAGAAGAAAAGAGATTAAGACTTGAAACTAGGCGCAACCATCTTTCTAGACCGACTAAGCTCTGACTCCTTCGTAAGAATGTGAAAATCGAATCTAAATGTCTGAAAAGTCTCAGATTTAGATAAACCTCAATACTTCTAATAATTCATGTAATTAACTTCCCAAATATCTAAATCTTATAAAAATCTGATAGAGATCCATCATGTTTGCAGTAGCTCCTTCTAATTTCTCCTAAGAGCACATTTCATGACCCAAAGAATTTTTGCAGAATTTCCGATCATTTAGCTTTAAGAGTTTCATAAGAACCGATTTATTCAACGTTAATGCTCATTAGAGGGGTTTTGGGGTTTTGGGGTTTTGGGGTTTTGGGGTTTTGGGG